AAAAGAAAAGAAAGAAAGAAAGAAAAAGAAAGAAAGAAAGAAAGAAAGAAAGAAAGAAAGAAAGAAAGAAAGAAAGAAAGAAAGAAAGAAAGAAAAAGAAAGAAAAAGAAAAACAAGCAAGCAAGCATTTGCTGATTTCCATGGTGTAAATACTCCCACCAGGGCCACTATAAGATGCTGACTTGATGGCCTGGAACCAGGAATAGAGGAGATGCTTCAACTTGGCTCTCAGGAGCAGGTGTGAGCTGGTCCCTGCTAGCCTCTGCACATGGTGGTAGGCAGGCCGTTTACCTCCGACCTGGGCCATGGCAGAGAGGTACGCTTCAAGGACAGTGAGGCGCAGATCCGAATTCCGATTATGGCCCTTTCTACATGTTTGGCCTTGGAAAAGTTAATTTCTTTAAGCCTCCATTTTCTCATCGGTAAAATGGAGATCAGTACGCTTTCCAACCAGAACTCTTGGGAGGATTCAATAATTAACAGAGCTATAGGTAAAGCTCCCAGCACACAGGAAATGCTTATTGCCTTCTCCAGACTGTGAGAATTCCCCAAGGCAGGGACTGTATACCATCCATTTTTTTGTTTTTGTTTTTTATCCCCCTTGCCTGAGCTGTGCCCCCTGAGGCAAGTTACTCAACTTCTCTGTGCTTGGTTTATTCTACCATAAAATAAGGGAGCTGGGCCAGATGGTCTCACATTTCCCTCCCTGCCACTCTGGCCTGTCCTCTGACCTGCGCAGGGCTGAGCGGGGAGCTGCGGGTGGGGACAGGGCAGGGAAGGCGCTGAGGCCAGAAACAAAAGACCGGCAAATGTTGGCCCACCAGGCCATGTTCCTTGCTGGGGCGGTGTCAATTAATTGGCAGGGCAAGGAAGAAATTAATCTCTAAAAAGTTTTAAACATGAACTTGTCGGCATGATAGATGGCTCCTCCTGTCTGGGAAATTAGATCCAATTAAGGCCACCTTTGTGGAGCGGGCCTGGCTAATTTGACGGAGGAGCTCAGAGGAAAACACTTAGACCTTCATAGCTGAAGGAGCTGGGTTAAGGCAGCGAGAAAGTGTTCATGTCATTATTAAAGGCCCCAGGGTGGAGATGTGGTCCCTGGCCGGGGAGGCAGCCGGGTGCTGAAAGGTCAGCGTGCCCATCACCATATGTGGGTGGTAACGTGTGGCTCTAACGTGGCTTATGTAACGTAGCACTTAAAGTCTGGGCTCCGGAGGCAGAAGTTCAGGCTCTCCAAGTCCTCGGTGAAATTACTTAACCTGTCCTATGCCCCAGTTTCGCCATCTGGAAAATAAGGGTAATGCTAGTACCTGCCTCAGAGTGGTGGAGGCGATAAACGGGCATGATGCTTGTCTGAGCAGCTGGCTAATATTCGTGAATGATATTATTCTGAGCCCCCTGGAAATGCAGACTCACTGGGGGCAGATGCTCCTGCAAGCAGGGAGGAAGGCCCCCGGTGCGTCAGAGGTGGAGTAAGAGGCTCAGGATGGCCCTGGACAGGTCTAGCCTTGTACGTGCCAGTACCGTCCGCTCCCCTCGCTTCCAGAAAAAGGGGAGAAAGAAAGCCTGGAGGCAGACTCGGACGGTGGGGTGCATGGGTCACAGGAAGATTTAATGTCTCCCCCTCAGCCACCTGTAGCAGGGCTGGTCAGTGTCCACCAGACCCCTGCTCTCTTTCCCAGGCTAGAATGCCTGCTGCAAAGGGGCTGTCAGGCCAGAAACGACCTCCCCAGGCTGCCTTCCATCTGGGTGTGGGGCTATTGCCTGGTTCTGGCCAAGAGGATGTGGGCAGAAGTGATGCATGTCACCTCCAGTCCTGGCCCATACACATCTCCTTAGACAGCACGCCAGGCTCTCTTCCCCTCTGCAGTGATCTTGGAGCCACAACATGGAAGGTGCCTGGGTCCCAGAATCGCCATGCTCAAGGCTGTCCACGGAACATGGCATTGGATTGCTGGGTGAGTCAGAATTTCTGTGGTGTTGAGCCACTGAGATTTCAGGGTTGGCCTGCTTGGCACCTTCAGTGCCCTTATCTAATACAGAAACAGGTATTTAGAAGTGGGGAGCCTTGCATGCCCACTAAGTAGCCTGGGAACCCCATGAGGGCAGGCCATGTTGAATTCCATCCTGTGCCCCAGCACCCAGCACCTGGCGGAGAGCAGGCCCCCCACTGACATCAAATGAATATATGAAGGAATGTCCAGGGGCCTCATATTCCTTCCCAGCTTCTGACCTGGGGTCTCCTATTGCTTTTGCCCTCCCCGCTCCCTCCCAGCTTCAAGGGAGAGAGATCTGAAGGGAGGCACGTGGAGAAGGGGGAAGAAAGCTGAGAGCTCCATGGACTGAATAGGGGGGTCGGGGCTGGGGGCCCCTGGGTAAAAAGACAAAAAAGAATGATGAGGAAGACATCACTGTTAGCCCTTGCTGTGTACCCAGGACTACTCTGGGAGTGCTCCCTGTAACAACTCATGTGATCCACACGCCACCTCTAACACGACCATCCTCATTTTGCAGGGGGGAACCCAAGGCACACGCTGTGTGAAGAAGAGGAGCAGGGTTCAAGAAATAGGTCAGCAGCTGAGGGAGGGGGATGTGGAGGCTTGAGAAAAGAGATCCCTCACAGGGTGGTTAAGTTACCCTGCTGTTTGTAAAATGGAACACATTTTAAACATAACAGGGCTCTTCACCATTGGAAGACCTCCTTGGTGGATACATTCATGTTCCAATTTTGGGGGGGCGGTTAAGATCTCTAATCACACTCAAGTTCATATGTCAGGGGTGAAACCAGATGCTCAATGCTGGCATGCTCCAGGTGAGGGCTTCCTGGGAAAGGGAGGGAGAACTTGGCTCAGGGGCAGGTCCCCGGCTAGGCATGGGGAGTTGGCCTGAGGCACGGAGGACAGGGACCATGGGGCTCACCTGAGCGGGCGTTGATCCGAAACTGGGAGGAGCCCTCCAAGGAGTAGATGATGGACTCCTGACCATACTCCCGGGAGCGGTCCAGGTCTGTGGCATTCAGGAACAGCACTGTGGCTCCTTCCGGGAGACAAATGGGGGGAATGCTCACCCTAGGCTCGCAGCTCCAGGCCCTGGGAGCAGGACCTGGTACCTCCTGCTGACCAGCCTTCAGGAGGCAGGAAGCCTGCCACTGGGACACCCAGGGGTGAGAGTGGGCTCAACCACCAGAGCTCCCAGGGCTGCGTGGGGACAAGGCTCCATGGGAAGGGGTCCCGGAACCTGGGGTGGATTACACCCGCCGCTCTTGCCCCCCCCCCCCCCGCACCCTGAGAGCATACCACTGCTCTCCCCTACCTCTCTCTGGCTGCTCACCAGAGAAAATACACTCAGATCGACCAGCTTTGACTTTGAGTCAAAAAGAAGTGAAGCCCTATATTAAATTATTCCACGTTTATTGTATTCAATTTTGGTCTTGTTTCATCTTGTTCACAAGGGGGAATTTATAAGGGTTTTTATTTTCTCTTTAAGGTCTAGTTAAGGCCCTCACTTTCATGTCCATCTCTGTGAAACCCTGGGTCAGGGGGCCAGCCTTTCCAGTGGCCCTCGCCGGAGACCCTGAGAGCGGCCTGTCCGAGGCCACGTCTGCTGGGCTGTGGCTCCAGCCACCTCCTGTCTCCCACTGCCACCTAACGGCCACACTGAGGAGATTCAGTGGGTGGACTTGTAGACTCATGGCGCCCAGGCTGGAATCCCAGGGGACCTCTGGCCACTAAGCCTCAGCTTCTTCCTCTGTAAAATGGGTCTACCGAGAAAGCCAGCTTGCGGGGTTGCTGGTGAAGATCCCGGGGAAAAGCATGCAGGCTGCAGGCTCATGGTAGCTCTCACTGAGCCACAGATGGGGGTTACTATTGTGTGGAAGAGTCAAGGGTCCCAGGGGTAGTAGGGGCCAGGCAGGGCGCTGTGAGACAGGCAGGTCCTTCTGGCCCCTTCCAGGGAGTGTGATGCCTCCGACCCTCAGTCTTACCCTGAGCAGGGAGACAGGTACACGGGCCTTGACACACCCTTTATCCGAGTGCAAAGTGGAAGACGATTAAGTGCCATGGTGAAGGCCTCTCCTAAAGAGGCTGTAGGGATGGTGGGCAATGCAAGGGGTTGCTTCAGGGCTGATGCTCTCCAGGGGATGCCTGACCAGGACAGGGAAGGGTGGGCTGGGCACAGCCTGGCACCCACCCAGGAAGTCATCAGAACCAGGAAGGTGTCTGGAGACTCTCCTGAGAAGGTCCCATGGTGCCATAGAAGGTCACCCTCCAGATGCAGCAACTCTTCCTGATTAGGGGGGGGTTCCCCACCAGAACAGTCCACCCTGGATGTAAGGGGGAGCTGTCAGCCTGCCCCAAGAACAGAGCAGGTCCCCAGGAACCCGAATGTGGAGCTGGTCGTCCCGGGTCTGCAAGCCGGGCCCTGCTACCAGAGAGACACGGCCGAGAGATGTTCTCACTTAGGAACACAGGCCACCCTGGCCTCACAGCACCATGATTCGGTCCTCTCTGTACATGCTCACTTAATCAAGGTCGTTCTATTACTGATGGCTGACTGTTCTCTCCCTGCTAGACTGCAGCTGAAGGAGACTGGGGACCAAGCACCCAGCACAGCGCCTGCACGTAGTAGGTGTTCCGTAAAACAGCCGCTGGCTGGCAGATAACCGGACTTGTCATGGGTGTGTCTGCTGGCTTCCTGCCTTCACAGCCTCCCCCGCTGGGGCCCGTACCTGCCATGATGTTCTCCACCACGGAGACGAAGTAGGCAGGCTTGCTGAAGGTGGGCGGGTTGTCGTTCTCATCCTGGATGGAAGGGAAACAGACAGGTTGTCGAAGCCAGGGAGGCCATCAGGGCCGGTCAGCTGTCCAAGGGGAGGCTCAGTGTGGCTGGCACAGAGGAGCTTTGGCCTTGATGTACAACCAGAGTCGGGTGGGGTGTCCCGGGGGGGGGGGGAGACGGATGCTCGCCTGGCTGGGCTACAATTTGGGGAGGGAGGACAGGCCTTGGGGAGACGCATAAGGGCCAGGAAGATGGAGAAGGAAGGCAGCAGGTGGAGCTGCCTATTACTCCCAGCTTCCCTCTCTCCCGTTGGTCTTCCAGTGCAGCTCCAGGCTTACTCCTGTTCTGCTCAGCTCATCATCCTCCATGCTGGGGGTGCCCACTCGGAACTTCCCTCCCAGCTCTGCGAAGACGACGGTGGAAGGCTCTAGGACGCTCCCCGCCAGAAGTGAAGGGAGAAAGGAACACTCTGTCCTGAAGTTCCTGGCTCCCAGAGCCCAAATTCCAGGCTCCTCTGTACATATCAGAACAGGGGCTCCTCTACGCACTGGGGCAAATCCTGGCCCAGAGCCTACCATCTCCGGTTCTCGCCTTGCCCAGCCTCCACCGGAGACCAGCTCAGAGGGACAGTGGCCAGGGGCTGGTGCAGGCCGAGGGGCGGGACAGGCACAGCCTCGGCCTCCTCCTGCTGCCCCCGCTCCTCTGTCTCCCTCTTCCACGCTCGGGGTGATTTCTACACCCTTTAAGACTCTGGTCCTCACCCACTGCTTTTTGTAATCATTCAACATGAATTTCTTTCTGTTCACCTCTTGCAGGAAGCCCCACCGACCCCCGGACTCAGAGCCTCTCCCTTTCGCCTGGGAACCCTGGGGGTGGCGGCCTCTGGGGAGCCTCCAGGCTGCAGTGTTCCTGGCACGTGCTCCCACGGGGCTTCCTGCCTCACGGACCTGGGAGCTCTGGGAGGGGAAGACTCCCATAGAAGCCCCCTTTGCTGGCATCACTTATAGCTGAGCGGCAATGGAAGAGAGGGAGGCATGGCAGCCGGCCGGCCTGGACTTGGAACTTTCGAGAATCCCATCCTGCCAGACTGCGGACTGCAGGTGCTCAGAAAGGAAGGCTGCTCTTCTTCCCCAGCCTGTCGCCAGACTCTGGGCTGCGCAACAGCTGCCCCCAGCCCCCGCCCCGCCTCTGAGAACCGGTGGTGTGAAGACTCGCCTGACGTCCAGTGCCCCAACAGCATGTCTGGGCATCCCCCTGGGGCAGGCGTGAGTGCCCCATGTACGTATATATTCAAGCCTTCTACTTGGCTGCATGAGACGGCGCCGAGAATGTCAGTGGCAGGGCATGAGGCAGAAACTTACTAGCGGTGATATTTCCCCGGATCCTGGCACTGTATTCGCTATTAGTTCTAATTCAGTGGCTTCCTCTACAAAGGCTTATTGTCCCCGAATGGGAAATCTACAAACCAAGTTTGACTTCTTTATTAAAAACCAACAAGCAGTGGGTGAAAAGGAATCACCTGGCCCCTCTCGCCCGCCCCTTTTTCCTCCAGGAACCTCATCGCCCTGATCTGTGCTGGAAGCGCTGCCATGAACTTCTCATCTTTTGTCTTTGCTGGGTTCCTCCCCTCCCCCCACCAAGTTGAGAGAAAATCCCTTTGCTGGACAGAAGAGGCAGCTTAGCCAAGTGACAGCTACTTAAAAATCACCCATGTGCAAAAGCAACCCAAACGCACAAGTGACTACACCATCCCAAAGACCTGCTTGAGAGAGGATGTTCACTCACAGCCAAGGTGGCACCTGTCTTTGTTGCCAGACCCCCCCCCCCCCCCCTCCCTGCTGTCAGGGCCAGAGCACACCTGGGGGGAAACTGTAGGGCCCTTGCTCATCTGCAGGACAGCTTTGAGGGAATTTGAAAATGACCCTGTTTGCTGGGCTCAGGTAGCTCCAGGCCGAGTGGATCCCTGCCACCACCCACCCCTGCAAACGGAGACCCTGCTGACTGGTTTCAGGGAGGGAGGCGAAGGCTGCTGACCACTCTTTTATTCACAGTGAATGAAAGGTTAGTTTGGCTCCTTGGCCACCCTCTTCCGGCTTTGCTCTGACCTCCCCCCCGGAGAAGCTGAGGAAGGGAGAAAGAGGCCCTTTCTGGGTTCCTTAACTGAGCCACAGGTGGGGAAGCTGAGGTTTGGGGCAGTCCCTGGGTTTTAAGATCCCACTGGGGCAGACCTTTGAAGGTCTTCCTACTCAAAATGTGGTCCCCTGACCTGAAGCATCAATGTTGCCTGGAGCTTGCTGGGAATGCAGAGGCTCAGCCCTTGCTTAGACTCACTAAACAAGAATGTGCATTTTAAGAAGATCTCCAGGAGATTCGCATGAACCTTGAGGTGTACTGGTCTCAGTTGCATGCAGCTAGGGATTTCTGAGGCTTCAGGCCTCGGAATGTAGTGGAAAGGATGTGAACTCAGGAGTCAGACAGGTCAGGACTGAAATCCCAGCTTACTAGGACTGGAAGCAAACTCAAGTGCCGCTTACTAGCCAGAAAGTGAGAAAGGCACTGGGGATCCTGGACCTGCTAGACTGCCTCATCTGTGGAAGGGGATTGGGAGAGATCGCGTAATGTGAAAGCACCCGACATGTTAGTGGCGCTCAAGAAGTTTTAATTTCCATGTGGCCAATTCTGCCTGTCCCTCTCTGGGCTGGTGTAAAACACCTCAACTTATCTCCCGACACCTCCCCTATTCTCACCCTCTCCCTCATCCGCTTCCCCCGAACTGAGAGCACATTCTTCTCTGGCCGAGTTCTCTGGAATTCTCACTTGTACTGGAGATAGCCTGGAGCACAGATGCTGCCAGGGGTATGCACGTCTGTCTTATCAGCTGTGATGACAGCGAACATTACAGGTGCCAAGTGCCACCTGCGTGATCTCCATCCTCACGACAATACCATGATGCAGTACCACGATTATCCCCATTTTGCATATGAAGAAACTGAGGCTCAGAGAGACAGAGTTAAGGACCCCAGGTCATAGAGTTAGAGAGTGGCAGAGTTGGTTTTCAAAGCCATACACCTCCAAAACTGTGTTCCTTCTTCCATTCCCTGAGGAGGGGGCAGGTTCCACATCTCCCCCCCCCCACACCCCCACCCCGGCCCTGCTGCTGCACCTGCACACAGGGAGAAGTCAGGGTGCCTGAGTGGAGAACACCAGCTGGTTGAAAATGGTGGGTGGGGCAGTTGGGCTTAGGAGCATGACCAGGACTGGGGCGCTTTGGGGGCTGTGTTTAATCAAGATTGGTAAACTAGGGTCAGGGCCACGTGGAGAAGAATACCAAGGCGTGGTCACGATTGGCAGGGAATGCATTCTGGCTCTTTGGTGCCCCCCACCTCGGTGCTTCAAAGTGGGGGGCTGCGGATAAAAGGCAAGCAGCGAGTGTTTAGGCTTCTATGGATCTCCTCTTTCCCAGCTGCCCCCTCCCTCTGGCGTCCCGCCACCTCCTGAAACCTGTGGGGCCCCAGATTCTCTGCTTTTCCCTTTGCTGGTTCTGCACAGCCTCACCCTCCGATACCACCCCTAAATCCTGCTCCCGCATGCCCACCTGCAGGCTCCCCCCAAGCCATCACCCTCAGCCTCATCACTGCCCGCCCATCCCATGCAGCAAGCAAGGACCGTCCCACTCGGCAGTTGGCCCTGGAGCCTCTGCCTTGGGTTGGGAGGATGAGGCTTAGCAAAGCCAGGTGTGGGTCAGCCCCAGAGGCTGCTAGTGATGCCATCTGGGACAGGAAGGTCATCCAGCACGCCTGCTCCAGAGGAGATTTTCCTGAGCATATGTCAGATCACGGCGTAGCTCCCAACCTGACGATCTGATCCAATCCTCCTGGAGCCCGTAATGCACTAACTCTTCCATCAACACGCATTCACCCGCTCTGGCAGGCAGCAGCTTTTATGAGATGGGGGGCGGGGGGCATGCTTGCACATGCGCAGTGGGGCGGTCTCTGGTGGGGAAAGGCCCACTGGTGCCCCGTCAGACCACGATCTGCATCCCTGCGATCACTAGGGGAGGAGCACGGGGCAAATGAACCAGCACAGAGATGGATTCAGTGACTGATAATTTCAGACATGGAGAGCACTAACGTGTGCTTGATATTCATGTCAGACAAGCTGTGGTTTGGTTTCAGGCCCCTTTAGATCTTCAGAGCAGAGGGTAAAGGAAAGAAAAAAGGAAGAGGGAGTATAGAGAGAGGAAGAGACACAAGAGGGACGACCTCCCTGTAATTCCCTTGAACTTCACAAAGTATGGCTCTAAATGAGGGAATCCCGTGACATTTCCTCCTGCTTGAGCCTCAGTTCCCGTTCCCCATCAGCGGGGGTCCTGAGGCCCCCTAATGAAGTTAGAGCAGGATGATGGGGTTCTTCTCGCATTCCAGGGCCTGGCCTCCGCGGCTGAGCTGGGAGGCAGCGTGGCTGCTGCAGCAATGGCTGAAGTTTGCGACGGGCAGCCTCTGGGACAGTCTGCTGGGTGAGTCCCAGAGCTACGGGGACAGCCAAGGCTGTAGGGACATAGTCTGGCACCACTGGCTTCAGGCAGGGCCCCCAACACTCTGGGAAGCACTCACCACCCCTTACCCTGAAAGGGCAAGACCAGCACCGCTGGGTACTTACAAACACCTCGATGGTGACGGGAACAGTGCTGTTCAGAGGGGGGTTGCCAGCGTCCTTGGCCATGACCGTCAGGTAAATCAGCCCGTTGGGTATCTGCTCATAATCCAGGGGACGGCTCACGCTGATCACTGAAATGACAGGAACAGGGCCCCAGGCCCCCTGTAAGCAGACTTCAGATGCCTATCCAGCCAGGGGGCTCCTTTGGCCAAAGAGGGTGTGGCTGGCCCAGGCTGGCCTGCTCTGCCTCATTCCCCGCCCCCAGCCCCGCCCCTTGCTCTGAACTCCTGGAGCCTCACGCTCTTGACTTGGGTTTACTGACGGCCTGGTATGTGCGGCACAGTGCTGAGAGCACGGCAGGTATTGACTATCTTGGTGGTGATGTAAGCACTTTACAGGTGAGGAAACCAAGCTCAGAGAGGCTCAATAACTTGCCCAAAGTCACACAGCTAGGACCTTGATAGAGGCGGGACTTGAGCCTAGGTTTGTCTGAATCCAGAGCCCAGGTCCTTCCCCAGTAGGTGGTATTGCCTGCTTATCTGTCTGTCTCACCCACTTATCTGGCACTCTCCATCACTTTGGAAGCTGCTCGGAGGACAGGGTCATGCCCCAGGCTCTCTAGTTTGTTCTCTTACCAAGTTCTCCCTCCAGATACTCACAGAGTTCACCCACTTACTGCCCAGCCTCAGGGCAGCTGGGGGTGATGCCAACAGTGGGATGCAGATGGCAGCTCCCTCCTCAGTCTCCTCTGGCCCTGCCCGTTTCCTCCCATGGCCTTTCTCCTCTCTCTTCTTCCCTCCCTCGCCTGCTCCCTTTACCCCGTGGGCTCTCCATGCCCATCCCGTCCAGCAGCCTTGGGAGGACACTCAGGTGTTGCCAACTTTACTCTCAGAACTCTGCTTGAAGGTGGTGAAGACACCCCTAAAGCCAGAGGCAGGCAGAGGTGGAGAGGGAGGATTTGGGGGGAGTTGAGAGATGCCCCCCTCTCATGTCCCCACCACTGCATATGCCTGAGCTCTCCCATGGGTCGCTCCTGCTTGGGGAGGGAAGGCATATTGGCTCCGGCATGGGGGGCATAGGTGGTCGGCCGGGGCATTAAGACAATATGAAATCACCACTTTCTATGCGGAAAATGGAAGCAGAAGCATTGCTTTCGTAATATAAAACCCAAGGGAGGGTCTAGTCAAGAAGAGGACAGAGTGCTGGACTCAGAGTCACCCAAAGCGCATCTGTTCTGCACTGGGGGCACCTAACCCATCTTCAAGCATTCGGGAAGCTTCTCAGAGGAGGGGAGGTCCAAATGAACCCTCAAAGCTAGCCAGAGGTTATCGGCTTAAAGGCCAAAGGGAGGCAGAGCAAAGAGACAGGGAGGAAGGGTTTTCCTGGCAGAAGGAGCAGACTCTGCCAAAGACATGGCAGTGACCCCGAAGGGGAGAGTGTCAAGGGATTCAAAGAGGCTGGGTTCTGGTGTGGAGACAGAGGTGCTGAAAGAAGAGGCTGCAGAGGCAACCGAGAGTCAGATCACCCGTGTCTGGGCCCCTCTGCTGTATGACCTCGGGCAAGTCACTCCCTGTCTCTGGGCCTTTGTTGCCCCTCATCTGAAAAACAACAGGGTCTCAAGATCTTGGAGCTGAAGGCTACTGCTCCTACCCCCTGCCCGGGTTCTGGGGATCAGGAGTCACGGGGGGCTGGCGGGGCAAGGTCCAGAGTCTGGGACTGTGCCTGAGCCAAGTAGGGAATGGCCACCACCTGGAAGGCAGCTGAAGCCGGCCCAGAGCATTGGGAGGCGTGGCTGACAAGCCTCTACCTTATGGACCTGGCCAGGCAGCCTGGGTAAGAACGAGGGGCCTTGCAGACTGTGGTAATATTGGATGTGGGGCTGCCCATGGCTGAGACCCAGAGAAAGACAAAGCTGATCCTAGAGAAGGGTGATGCCAGGCCTGTGTCACTCGTCCCCGCTGATGGGCTGTGGGTCAGCTCCCTGGGTTGTCCAGGGTTTCTAGAGACAGACGGCCCCCCCCCTCCTCAGAGGGGCATGAGGGTGCAGCCTTGCTCTGGCCCACCACTTCTCCTCCCTGGGCTGGGCCCTCGCCCCCAGCACGCCTACCTCCGTAGCCCTCATACACGCTGATGTCGAAGTAGCTGCCAAAGGCGGAAGCGTTGACGATGCTGTAGGTGATCTGGTTGTTGGGAGGGGAGTCTTCATCCGTTGCCTAGAGGGAAGAGTACAGACAGGGCCCGTGAGCCCTCAGAGGCTGGGCGGGAAGGGAGGGCTGGCCCCCTCAGGGTCCCCTGCTTTGGGGGATCCAGGCCCCCCTTGTCCCTCAGCCGGAGGCCACCCTCTGGCTCCCAGCAGACAGACCTCATGTCGGGGTGTGGAGGTAGCGTGGGAATCTGGAAGGTCAGCTGGAGGCCTAGGGGAAAGAGGGAAGGCCGGGGCTTACCCCGGGATGGAGAGGGTCACCACCATCCCCGGCACGACCCACAACCATCTCCCAGATCCTTTGGTCTCAGCTTGAACACCCCACGCACAGAGGCCTTCCCTGACCTCTGGACCAGGTAGGCCGCGTGCTGTGCACCCCGTGAGTCCCTCCGCACCCAGCTGTGGCTTCCTGTTCCATTTCTGCTTGCCTCCCTCAGACTGTCAGCTCCATGCCAGCAGGAACCTTACACTTCTTTTTCTTTTTAAAGAAGATTTTATTTATTTATTTGACAGAGAGAGACATAGCAGGGGCAGAGGGAGAGGGAGAAGCAGGCTTCCTGTGGAGCAGGAAGTCTGATGCGGGGCTTGATCCCGGGACCCTGGGATCATGACCTGAGCCGAAGGCAGACGCTTAACCATCTGAGCCACCCAGGCGCCCCAGAAACCTTCCACTTCTTGATGGCTGCTGCTTACCTACAGTCCGGCACAATCTTTGGCACACAGTAGGTGTCAAATAAATGCATACTGCATGAATGCAAAGTGGAGGGAATGCCCTGGAATGAGGTCAGAGATCCCTCCTCTCCTTGACGGTCTTCTGGGGTGACTGAATTGATTATCTGCTTTTTAGGGGTCTCTGTTCCTAGAGAGCCTCCAAGCCATCCCACCACTCTGGTGTACCGGGAGCTGAGTGGGGCAGGATGGCATGGTCGGTGGGTTCTGCCTTCTCTGCATCCCCCCGGGCCCACCCCTGATCCCTTGCCTTCATCCCCGCGTGCTTCAGAATCCAGTTCTAAAGGGAGGCTCTGGGTCCTCTCAGTCTGGGTGGGCCCACTGGGGGAGGGGAGCGGGGACATTAAGAAGTCTCTGGTCAGAGTTACTCTGCGTGGGGGGACTCACTGCGGGAGGACACTGGGGGTGTGGGGTCCCGAGTTCTGGCCCTGGCCCTACTGCTCCACTGCCTCCTCGTGCCTCTGGGGACGGCCTCTCCCCTCCCGTTTCCGCTTCCGTGACATGGTCTCTGGTTCCTTCTAGCTGGGGTCTGAGGTCTTTCTCCATCCCAAGCAGCCACCAAGGGGCCCGGATGGGGGTCCTTCGGCGAGATCCTGCTCGCCACTTGCCAAGGGAGAGGGGGAGGACATTCCTTTGCTGAAGAGTGACCTGAAATTTAAGCTGACCCAGGCACTTGCCCCACTTGGTTGCCAGGGACCCGAGGGAATGCTCAGAGGCCTGATGCAAATCGGGGCTGAATTCTTTGTGGATGGCGGGCTGGCCTCTCTTGCGGCAGCTTCCATAGGGCGGTGGGCGGATGGGAGGGGGACCGGACCGCAGGATGCTCTGGCATCTTACCCGGAGCCGCACCAGCTGGGTGACAGAAGGCTCATTCTCCCTCAGGGCCCCCACATAGGCATCCTTCTGGAAGGTGGGCACGTTGTCATTGACATCCAACACGTTGATCCTGACCCGGCCTGTGGTCTCCTCACCACCCCCATCCCGGGCAATGACGGTCAAGGTGAAGCGCTGGATGAGCTCATAGTCCAGTTTGGCAATGAGCATGATGAGTCCTGTGTCCTTGTCCAGAGAGAACCTGTGTCAGGAGGGACAGGGGGAGAGAAAGGGACCTTGGTGTAAAGCAAAGGTAAGGCCTGTGTTTACTAGCCTGTCCTTGCCCGAGGTGATAAACAGAAATAAAGTCAGAAATCTGCTGTCTTTTCACTTGCCCTGAATCAGAAGAGTGCCTATTTCTAACAGGGAGTGGGGTGGGAGGTGGGGGGGCAGGGGTGAGGACCACAGGGGGGAGGGGAACAGTCGGGTACTGAAAAGGCAGGATGCAGGTTGATTTCGTCAGAGAGGAAACTCAGGCAGAATGACCCTCCTCCTGCTGTGAACAGGAGTTTCTGCCCACTGTAGATGTTTAGATGCTGGAGAACAATCACGGTCAGAAATTCTGCCATCCCAGATGGTTTTGCACCAAAATGTTTTAAGTGCGTGGTAAAGCATCCAGCTAGGAGGGGGGTGGTTGGTCATCTCTCGGGAGAGAGCCCTTCTCTTCTGCTCCAGGGCAAAGCCTTGGCTAAGAGCCTAGCAACTGTCTCCCGGAGAGAAATGTGGTCCAGCGAGACCATCCATCTGGCCGCCTCCTCTAAACAGCCCCTTGGGAGCCTCCCTTGAGTTGGAAGTTGGCACCTGTATGCCCGGATCTGGTCCTCTGAGCCTGGAAGGTCCTGGCTCCAAGACCAGTAGAAGAAGATGGGAAGAGATAAGGAAACCCAAGTTGATCAGGACGAGGCCGTGTGGACACGGGTGCCCTGAGGGATAGAGGTGCCCTGTGCATGCCTCCTGCGGCTGGCTCCTTCCTCCCCTCTCGACGCTGCATCCAGAGTGGCAGAGAATGGCCAGATGCGCCTAACAATCTCTGTCTCTTCCTGAGCACTCCCACAGCCAGCCAGGGCCCGGAATGCAAGCTGACAGCCACTGTTTTCCTCATCCTGTCGAGCGTCCAGATGCATCAGACCCTTCGTTTTTATTTATTTTTTTTTTAAGATTTTATTTATTTATTTGTCAGAGAGAGAGAGAGACAGAGCACAAGCAGGAGAGAGGCAGAGCGAGAGGGAGAAGCAGGCTTCCCGTGGAGCAGGGAGCCGGATGTGGGACTCGATCCCAGGACCCTGGGATCATGACCTGAGCCGAAGGCAGCCGCTTAACCGACTGAGCCACCCAGGCGTCCCAGACCCTTCATTTATAGAAGCAGACCTGCTCTCTGGCTTCAACTTGGCTTTTGATCATGTTAAAAACGAGAGGGTTTCCCCTTCGGCTTAACGGAGGACAAGGGAAAGAGATGGCCCAGAGCCACGGTGGCTGACAGGGCAAGGCTGCCCCCAGCCGGGCGGTGAGGCACACCACCCACAAGACCACATGCAGAGGCTGGGCCCTAGAGCTTACCAGCTGTGTGACCTTGGGCAAATGGCTCAGCCTCTCTGAGTTTCCTCCTCTGCAAAGCGCAGATGATAACGGGGCCCAGTGCTTGGGGGGATGAAATCCGATCACGTGCGGCAAGCCCTGGGCGCAGAGCCTGACACACAGCAAGGGTTCCCAGATAGAGCCTTCGCAGGGTGCCGTCACTAGCGTTTCCGAGCTGCTTCATTCCCAAAGCTAAAGGCTATCTTTTGAGGGTCAGAGAAGCGATGCCTCCGAGAGTTTAGAGGACTTGACCAAGACCGTGCCCCGGCCAGGGTGGCGCCGGCCGTGGCGCCCGTGGGTTCCGACTCCCCCGCTCAGTGCTCTAGCCACGGCAGCACAGCACCCTCCCCGGGCACCGAGAAGTTTCCTGAACCTTGTGAGTAGCAGAGTGCCACTGCCGGGGTGGGGATGGGGTTGCGGGGCACTGGGGCAGGGTCTTACCGGTCAGGGTCATCGCTGAAGAAGTAGTTGACTTCCCCGAAGGTGCCCACGTCATTGTCTGTTGCCTGCAAAGGTCAGAATGAGAAGTCATTGCTGCCAGACCCAGCGAGGCTCCCGATCTCACCGGGAAATGTCCATAGCCAACCCGTGGTCCTCCCACGCAACTCCTCTGGCTGCATTTTCTAGAGGTGTGTTCGTTGTTCAGTTCGTTGTTCAGCCCCCAGGCACCAAGCGCTATTGACAGTGAGAGTGGAGAGCCCAGTTCTGGAGGATCGGTCTTCTGCCTAAATGTCTAACGTGGGGAAACCACCCCCCTCTGGACTCCTGTCAGGCCAGGCAGGCTTATGCTCTGCAGAGGCTCAGAGGGCTTGGGGAAGAGGTCTTGGACCTGTGGCCTGGGGGTGGCAACTTGGAGGTTTGCAAAGTATTGCAAACAAAGGTGGAAGTGGGTTCCACCATCTGGTGGACTCTTCCAGTGTTTCTCTCCTAGTCCCCAAAGCATCCGGGTCCGATGTGCCTCCCGGTGGGAAAGGCCCCTCGGGGAAGGGGGGCTTCTAGAGTCCTGCCCCTGACACGCCTTCCAGCCTCAGTTTGGTTTGTGAGTCCAGCAAGACCTCTTTTACCTGGGCTGGTCCAGCCTGGCTTCTGCCACTTGCCATCGAATGAGACGGGGGAGGGGGAGAGGCCTGCCTCACGCGGATGACTGTGACAATGGTGGTGACCACTGCCCGCCTGTTCTGTCGTCCCGCCTTTTACATTTTCAAAGACCACATATGGTTATCATGACCTCATTTTATCCTCACAACTGTCCCACATGATGAAGAAGACAGACATTTCCACCCATTTCAAAGATCACAAAACTGAGGCCCCGACCCCAGTGAGGCCCATTCTAGGTCACGAGCCAGGTCACGAGCAAAGGGAGGCAGAAACAGGGATCCCGACTCCCAGCCTGCGGTTCCTTTCTTTAGGCCACCCCAGTCGGGCCCCCTTCCATCTCCTGCCTTCTCCAGGACAAGGGCAGTTTCAGCAGAGGTTTGGCTTTTGTGGGTGGGACTTCCGGCTTCTTCCTCATTCTTGGCATGGCCATAGTCCACAGTGGAGATGAAATGACACCATTCATTCGTTTGTTCTTTCCTTATTAAGCACACACTGTGTGCCGGGCACTGGGACTCTGCCCCCTCCTCAGGCCACTCACTGCCCTGGAGCGGGACAGCCTGCAGCTGCCGCCAGATGGCAGGGGCAAAGGCCGTGGGCTGACCTTGGGGACATCTGCTTTACATTCAGGGCTTCTCGATAAGACTGTGATGGGAAAGAGTTTCTGCTAATAAAAATACGTTTATTTCTTAGCTTTAGTGAGGTATAATGGACAAATAAAATGGTAACATATCTAAGGTGTACAGTGTGATGATTTGATATACGTGTACGCTATAAAAGGATGTCCCCCACTGAGTTAATTAACACACCCATCCCGCCTCTCTCATTTACCTTTTTCTTTTCTTTTTTGGTGAGGACACTTAAATTCTACTCTCTTAGCAAATTTTACTTCTACAATACAGCGTTATCAACCCTAGTCATCATCTTATACATTAGATCCTCAGACCTCATTCATCTTACGGCCGAAAGTTTGTACCCTTTTACCAACCTCTATTTCCTCCACCCTCTGTATCTTTGTACTAAGTATTTTTTGAGGTTCTCTTTCAAGTTCCTAGATTCTGTGAAATCTATTAAATTCAATGTTATGATAAACCTGAATGTTGGAGAAAAATTTGTGTTCGGTATACTTAGTTGAGGAAGGCAGATAAGTGAATAATATATTTCGATACCAAATCATCCAAGTGAAAAAAAAAACATTTAGACACAAAGGGTTCAGATCTCGGTTATCCAGAAGACTTGGTTATCCAGAAGGAAGCCATTTCTGGGGCCAGGGGCGGCCTCTTGTACCAGATTCCCTTTCAACGTCCCCACTGTGTGCGTTCTGGAAGACTGTGTGCAGACTTCCGCTCGGCCAGGCTCCGAGCGCACCACAGGTTCTCAGGGATGCATGTCGAATAAGTGACAAAGACGACGCTGAGCCGTGGAAGCCACCCTCGTACGCGGGACTGATTCCCGGACAGACCCTCCCTGGTGCCCTGAGCCACTCCTCACGACAACTGCCATTTACTGAGCACCTCGCACTTGCCACACATTTTATCTTCAGAAGCACCCCACAAGGTGGGGCCTATTATCAGCACCACCTCCAATTTACAGACAAGGAAACTGGCACAGAGAAGGTAAAGAGCTTCCCCAAGGCTTCACAGGGATTTGAAGCCAGGGCTGTCTTGCTGTGCCCTTGGCCTCGGTGTGTTATTGCTTCCGAACCGAGAGGAGAGCTTGCTCTCAGAAGAACCTACGCCTGGTGATTCCAAGGGGGAGGAGACAAAGCTCCTCAGAATAAGGTCCCTTCCAGGGACCAGAGGGCAAGCGGGGAGGAGTCCCGAAGTTCCCTTCCGCCCCACTAATCATCATCACCACGTGTGGCAGGATTCAACTATAGTAAAGCGCAGCTTGGCCTGGTGATGCCATCAGGCCCCTTGGTGAGGGGTCAGTGTGGCCTAGAGACCCCAGTTCCAGGCCAATGTCAACAGCGCAGGTCACCGGGTGACCAAACATCACCGACCCCGGCCTCAGCATCCTGGTGCGTCAGAGGAAAGGATCCGGGGGCGGGGGGCATGGGAGGCAGAACCGCACCTGCCGGGCTCCCCGCCCAGCACTCGGGGCCTGGCACAGAGCAGCGGCTGCATGAATGCTTGGAAAAGGAATGAACGGATTCTGGTAAGAAGGGGGTGCAGAGATGGGGCAAAGCCAGGGAAGAGACAGGATTCCAAGGGGAGGGAGCAACAGGGGCTGAGAGAAGAGGCCAGGGACCCGAGAGAGCAGCTAGGCGGTGTGGAGGGGATCAGGAGGAGAGCAAGCGAGGGCTGGGTTGTGCAGGAAGTGAGGGGCCCCATCAAACCATGAGGGGCTTCCCGGCCCCAGGGACAAAGCGGGTGTCCTATCTGGGTGACCTGTGAAATTGCACTCAGACTGTCAGGGCAGGAAGGACCCCGGAGGTCCCCCTTGTCCGGGCCCTTTCACCCTGGGGTCTGGAGCGGCCTCAGCCACGACAAGATGGGCCGGTCTGCTCTCCCTGGGCAGACCCTGGCGGCCTCCACCCCCAGCCCCAGTCCCCGCATGCTCCCCCTGCGGCAGGCTGGGCACAGCCATGGGCTCCGGCAGTGACCCCTTTCCCCTGGGGCCTCTCACTGCCCGCCCACACTGCTGATGTTGACCAGGGAAGGTTTGTGAGTCCTTTAGTGCCACCGTCTAATGACCGTATGAAATATGTATGCCCAGTGAAGAGGAGAGGGAGAACTTTCATCTTTCAAAGGCACAAAGCAGAATCAGAAGAAGATGGAAAGTGGCTTTTGTGCCCCTGCCACGATTCGGGCTGCCGGCACCGGCACGGAGGCCCTCACCGGGGTGCTCGGGCCGGCGCCAGCGACAGGGGGGCTGGGTCAAGGGCTCTGTGCCTGGGAGGAGGCAGCAAATCCCATCACTCGGAGACCCTGCCACAAGGCCCTCCTGGGTTCACTGGTGCCCTCACGGGACGGTCCCTCCTCCTTCACACACACTTGTGGCTCTGCCCCTGCTGTGGCCCAGCCCCTGCTGCCAGCTCCAGCCTCATCTCTGACCCAGGCCAGACCATGCCCAGCTCTGGGCCACACTGGCCCAGCCTATCTGCTCCCTCTGCCTGGACCGCTTTCTTCCTCCCCTGCCTGGCTCACACTCTTCTGTCCTCCTTGGCTCCCCAAGGCTGGGTTAGGGCTCGGCTCTTGGGGAAAGACTCCCAGCTCTGAAGGTGCTGTGAAGAGGAAGCTCTCAGCTGCTGTGTCTCCTCTCACCGGGCTCTGGCTCCCCGGGGACACGGCGGGGTCATGACTCACGATCTCTGTCCCCTATGTCTGCATCCACACCTCCGCAACATGCATTCACGTACGCGTCTTTCATGCTGGCCCCAGGCCCGTGAGCTGGGTCCTGTTATAACCCCCTGCTCCTTGCCTTTACCTAATGGGAAGCAGACAGGATCATCCATAGGAAAGCTGCCCAAGAGCTCTCCGCTGCTAAGTGGCAGAGCTGGCCTCCAAATCCCTGTGTTTAAAACTATTTTGCACCTCGAGGGTTAGGTGGCCTCTGAGTCGGGCCTGTGTAGCGGAGGTGCAGCGTGCCATGCTGGCTAGGCCAGTGGAGGGCGCTGCTGGGGCCTGCACCCTGCTCAGCCTACGACCTGCCCCACTCTATTTCTCATGCACTTTTCAACCAGCCTTCTTCCCAAGTCCTGCTTCATGCCCATGCCACTGAAATGAATCCAGTGCCAAACAGAGAGCGACCCTTGGGCCCACTTTAGGAGGGAGGGGTTAGGGAGTGACCAGGGTCTGTGCACAGAGGACACATGTCCTCCTCGTGCCATGAACACCCTCTCTCCTGTCGCGTTAGCCATTGGTTTTGACTTCTTGCCCCTGGGTCTCTAATGACCGGTCTTGGTAAGCAGTAAAGTGTACCAGAGTGTATCTGTGGGTAAGATTCTAGCCCTGGGGGATGGTAGTGGGTACACAGAGACAGCGGAGGGGAGGCCTGCAGCATAACTGAGGTGCTCATCTAGAACCCTGGTCTGGCATTTTTTTTTTTTAGAATTCTAGGAATGAGTATATCCGTCTCCGTGCAGGGTTATGTGCGGGGTCTCACGGGCCGGTCAGAGAGCTTACAGGAATGGGGGAAGGGGACGGCCCAGCTGGCCAGCTCTCACACCGTACCTGGGAATTCTAAGAAATGCCAAACCAGGGTTCCAGGCCTCCCCTCTGCTGTCTCTGTGTACCCACTACCATCCCCCAGGGCTAGAATCTTACCCACAGATACACTCTGGTACACTTTACTGCTTACCCAGGGGCAAGAAGTCAAAACCAATGGCTAACATGATTTCCTCTGCTCAAAAATCTTCAGTGGCTCCCCACTGTTGCGGAATTAAATCCAGACCAGCACCCTGGTGTCG